ACAGACCAAATGAAGGCTTAAATATACAGAGTAAATGAGAAACTACACAAGGACCAGGTGAACATAATCAAAAAAATCAATGAGTAACTGAATTACCAATCAAAAAGAAAATCTAAAACCATGATAGAAAGGATAATCATAATAATTTTTGAAAAACAAAGCTAATATAGTCAACAGAAACATATTATACAAAGGCTTAAATATACTGACTAAATGAGAAACCACACAAGGAGCATACTAAAACATTGCGTACGCACAAAGCTGTAAATGTGCATTATATATATATATATATATATATATATATATATATATATATATATATATATATATATATATATATATATATATATATATGTATATCTATATATATATATATATATATATATATATATATATATATATATATATATATATATATATATATATATATATATATATATATATATATATATATATATATATAGTTGAAGTCAGAATTATTAGCCCCCTTTTGATTTTTTTTTCTCTTTTAAATATTTCCCAAATGATGTTTGACAGAGCAAGGAAATTTTCACAGTATGTCTGATAATATTTTTTCTTCTGGATAAACTCTTATTTGTTTTCTTTCGGCTACAATGGGCAGTTATTAATTTTTTAAAAAACACTTTTGGGACAAAATCATTAGCCCCTTTAAGCTAATTTATTTTCGATAATCTACAGAACAAACCATCGTTATACAATAACTTGCCTAATTACCCTAACCTGCCTAGTTCACCTTATTAACCTAGTTAAGCCTTTAAATATCACTTTAAGCTGTGTAGAAGTGTCTTGAAAAATTTCTAGTCAAATATTATTTACTGTCATCATGACAAAGAGGAAATAAATCAGTTATTAGAAATGAGTTATTAAAACTATCATGTTTAGAAATGTGCTGAAACAATCTTCCCTCTGTTAAACAGAAATTGGGGCCCTAATAATTCGGGGAGGCTAATAATTCTGACTTCAACTGTATACACACACACACACACACACACACAAACACACACACACACACACACACACACACACACACACACACACACACACACACACACACACACACACGCACACACACACACACACACACACACACACAATAAAATAAGAACAAACAAATAAATAAACAAAACAAAACGCAACTACTGCTCACACGTCTTCACATTCAGAAGTCCATGGTCGACGTTTACCAAAGTAGACTTTTGGAAAACAGTAAAAATGCAAAACAATCAAATCTTGCATTCACATGAGTACTGTGTAAAGGGAAGTCAATGGAGCAAAACATGTTGTGGCCCTCAACTATATATATATATATATATAAAAACTTCACTCTACATGTAACCACCAAACCTGTTCCGAGCTGGGATCGAACCGGGGGTGGGAGTGGGTTGCTCTAACAAGGAAGCTAAAGACCATGGCCCCTACTGTCTGTCGCTAGAGCACCTTTAGAGGTCAGAGGCGTGAGGTTTATCTGCATAGCACTTCTCTTGGTGGCCTTCGCTACACTCACCCCCCCTAAACATCACATCCATCCCGAATGAGCCCTCACTTGTAACCCACCGGTCCTACTGCACCCAACCTGCTCTGAGCTAAGATCGAACTGGCGATTCTTTGCATTGGAGTCAGTTGCTCTAACAAGGAGGCTAAAGACCATGGCCCCTAGTGTCTATCAATAGAGCACCATTTGAAGTCAGAGGAGTGAGGTTTACCTGCACAGCACTTAACTAGCTGGCCTCCGCTACATTCATCCCCCTAAACCTCACTCCCATCAGGTTACAGCAACAATATAACCCCGCCGGTCCTACACCACCCAACCTGCTCTGAGGTAGCACCTAACTGTCAATTCTTTGTATGGGAGTTGATGCTATAACAAGGAGGCTAAAGACCATGGCCCCTAGCATCTGTCACTAGAGCACCCTTAGAAGTCAGAGGAGTGAGATTTACCTGCACAGCACTAAGAAACTGCTTTATTTAATACATATTGTTCTCCAAGTTACATGACTGTGAAAATCCTCTTCAGAACACCTTCAGCCGAATTCCACAAACAAACCCTTGTCTTTATTTTTAGCCCCATCTAATGCTGCGGATGCTTTCCCAGCGTTTAAACTCCAAATTACTGCTAAAGCGTGAATCATTATCAATCATTCATGCAACTGGAATAAGTAAAGAGACGCCTTTGCGAGTCAACAGAGACTTTCAGCCAACCAACCGGCACACAAACTGCATGGCTGCTAGCTTCACTTGGTTGTTTCAAAATTGACAGGTATCGCATACATATCAGTGGAGATTTCATGCGTAATGAAATGTGCAGCAGATTTGCGCTCCCCGTGAGCAAAGATCCACCGCGGGCACAGGAAGAGACTTTTTCTATTTGTCTCCTTACGTGAGGTAAAACATTTCCATTACTCCCTGGCCTGCTTTATTATGCCGTTTGGTTTGGAGGGTATCGTTCGCTAATGTGTGCCTGTGAGGGGTGTGAAAACAGCTTCAACCCCTGCGTGTCTTTAATAGCTTCCTCCGTCTAATTCTGTGGGGCGGCACCTCAGCACTGAGCCAAAGGAAAAATATTTAAAATGGTATTAAGGGAAATAATATTTGAGGAAGAGAGAGAGAGAGAGAGAGAGAGAGAGAGAGAGAGAGTCATTTACTTTAGTTTTGTGCTAAGATAAAACTCTTATTAGGGTTGGAGATCGTTTCTTGTTTAAAACAAGTTCTAATAAAGGACTAAAACACTGGAACCAAATGATTTGAGGATGACGTTAACAATATCTGAAAGTTTGCATTTCAAGTTTAATTTAGTTTAATACTTATAAATTACTTTATGGTGATACAATTTTAAAATTTGCTTTAAACAAATTGATTTTAAGTAAGCTCATAAGCTCATGTATAACAACATCTTTACCTGTTTAAATTAATTTGGATGCTTTGGTTTCCCAGTACTGGGTTGCGGCTTGAAGGGCATCAATTGCTTAAAACATTTGCTGGAATAGTGGCCGGTTTATTCAGTATAGAATGTAAAGTCATGCTGCATTGGAAAAAGAATGAATATTGTGTATGACTCCCATTTGGAGGACTGCATCCATACATTTCTGCAATGACTCAAATAACATCTGGAATGCCAAAGAAGGCGTTCTTGCAGGACTCCCAGAGCTCATCAGGATTCTTTGGATTCATCTTCAATGCCTCCTCCTTCATCTTAATCCCTACATGCTCAATAATGTTCATGACTGGTGACTGGGCTGGCCAATCCTGAAGCACCTTGACCTTTGCTTTCAGGAGCTTTGATGTGGAGGCTGAAGTATGAGGAGCGCTATCCTGCTTAAGAACTTGCCCTCTACTTTGGTTTGTAATGTAATGGGCAGCACAAATGTCTTGATACCTCAAAGTATTGATGATGCAATCCACTCTCGCACGCCCAAGATTTTCATGATTTTTTCTTTAACAAACTTGACTGATTTCTGTGAGAATATTGGGTCCATGTGGGTTCCAGTAGGTCTTCTGTAATATTACTTTTCCAAATGATCAACTAAAAGTCAAGTTATTATTTGTTGCTCTTACAACTGGGATCGACGGCTAGACTTTTGTCAGATAGTGTATATAGTTAAACATGCCTTATTTACTGTCTTTTGGCAAAATTATTAAATGTAGTATGTGTTTTATGTTTATTAGGAAATTATGTTTTTGTAAACAATCATGTGTTTGGCCGCAAGCTAAATGTTCTGCCACAAACCTTTGCTAATTGTTATTTTATTTCAGTTTGTTTTTCATTTAGCTTTGTACTAGTTTGTCATGTATTGTGATTTTTATTTCAATAAACTGAATTGGTTATCGACCAATAGTTTTTGTGTTCGTTTACTAAAATATATGTGGTGCAATATCGAACTGTGCACTGAAAAACTTTGACTCAAAGAAATGACTTTTGCTGCTTGTTCGAATTACTTATATAAAATTAGTTGAAACAACACAATGTGTTTTTTATGACTAAAATAGATTTGTGCTCAGTCCACTTCAATTTGAAAATACTTTAGAGTTAACAATAAATTTGTGTTGGGACATTATAAAGTAATTGTGTGGAACCCTGCATTTTAGACAGTTTATGATGAAAAGAACCACTGCAAGATGTTAAAGTTACACTTTGAGTTTAAATAATATTTAATAAAACGAAAAACACAACCTAAGACAACACAATCAACGGGCTCTATTTTAACGATCTAAGCACAAAGTCTAAAGTGCATGGCACAAAAGCATTAATGGCGTGTCCAAATCCACTTTAGCTGTTATAAGGATGAAAAAATACAGTCTGTGCTCTGACTTATGACCTAACAGGTTGTGTTTTGAGCATAACCTGCATTAAACTAATCTGAGTCTCATCTCCCTTTAAGAGTCAGTTGTGTTGCGCCATGGCGCATTTGCTATTTACATGGCAGACTTTGTAAGTGAAAAAACTGTACGCTTCACTAGCAAGAAAACAGTTAAACAGACCATCTGCAGCTCAAGGATAAAAAATGAGCCTCCTCCATTCAGCCTCTTTACTTTCTCTTTACTTTACTTCTACTCTTTACTCCTTTACTTTAGTGGAGTAAGGAAACGGTGGAAACTCACTTCATTGGAGACATCCATTAGCCTACGTTTTTAATTTACTTTGTTAAGTGCAAAGATTTGTTTCAAAACTATTTCTAAACTCAGTTCTAATTTCCAGCAAAAGAATAAATGAACAATAATAACACAAATAATAATAACACAAATAATAACACAAAAAGTGTTAACGACGTGGTAAAGTGAAGTTATTTCCAAACACGTGTCCTATTCTTATACCCCAGTGATGCATACGTCTCCAAAACCCGTCAGGTGGACAAATCAAATTTTTGTAACATTTTTAATCTTTATTTTTTGTTTTCACATGTAAAGATATTTGTGTATTGCAGTACAACCTGTGTGTATTAAGCAATGTGTAAGTGTTTGGACCCGCATAGACACAAAACTAACGCGCTCTGTGCTACAATTTAGAGCAGCTTTTAGTTGGTCAACGGAGCAGTCTATTTTAGTTCCTCAAAATAGCAATGCACCAACAATGCCACCTCCTTTACATACCAGCACCCTCATGAATCCACAACATAGCAAACCGTGAAAATTAGAGTTGCGATGGTCTGAAAATAGCATCAAACTGCCCTACACGTCCTGCACCTTATTGCGCCCAGTGTATGATAGGGCCCTATCAAGTGTGATGTTCCCCAGACAATATGTATTCTGTTTTCTGCTCTCTTATAAAAGTAAGAATTCATCTGGTTTAAAGCAAAGCAATCATAACTGTGCAAACAAATACAAACGATTCAATTCAAACATCTCGGCTGAATGAATCTTATGAATTAGTCAACATGAGTTATTGGTATGAAACGATTCACTTGTTCTTTCTAAAACCTCCATTTTAACCCTGGTTAAGGATAACTGAAGTCACACCACCCTACTGCATGACAGCAACGGTGAATGAAAGAAACACTATAAATTGAGACAAGAACTAAAAAAGCAACATCATACAGAAACGGGACATCTGGCCAAACACTGATGAGATGAACCATAGAGACGCTCCTGCTGCGCATGAGCTACGATTGAGACAGTGTTCTGTCGACTTTCATCCCAAGCTCAAACTCACAATAGTGAAGGTCTCTGATGGCGTCTGAGTGTCAGGAAACAAACGCTGCTGTTATCCCTCTAACCTGCCAGTGTGTATGACAGATGTCTGACACCCCTCATCCCCGCCTCACTGACAAGCAAGCTGACTGCTTCCTCCTCCTGTCAGAGAAGTCTGAACTCCACATGCTTTTGACAGGTAAAGGGTGGAAGACAGTCATGTCACGCTGTTGTCAGGGTTTTTTGGGGCTCGTTTGCAGTGTTTGGAAAGTGTGTTGTGTTCGCGGTGGAAGCGCCGTACCTTGCTGCATGAGGGAGCCGACGCCGAACCAGAAGCTGTTGAGGAGGGTGAAGTTGTTTTCTACCACGTCGGAGCCTGGGTTGCACGGATGGGCATCGTACCACTCGTAAGGACTGAACCTGTAAGAATCAGAACGAGTCACAAACATTACATTTAAAGAGCCCCTATTGGGGGTTTGCGAAAATGAGCTTCCATGTAGTGTGTAACACAGCTCTAAGTGAAGTGGAATATCCAGCTAAGGCTTAAATCTGAAAGTGGACAGTTTTTAAAACTATTGATTCATCCAAAAAAAGAGTCGACTCATAGTGGTTAGAATGATTCGTCTTCATAACGAGTCTTTAGCCGTTTCGGCGTGACGTGACTATTAAACATAATTGTTATGGGCGCAAACCCGGGAAAATTTAAACCTGTGCCCCGCCCACTAACACAGCCGCGAAGACAAACAGATCCTGAAGTCATGAGTCAAGAAGACGCTATGCTTACCTGGATATTATTGGAAGTGTGAGGGGTGTTACATTCCTGTACATTTCTGTGTTGCGTGATTATTATTTATATATATTTTTTCTCGCCAGTCTCTTTCTTTCTCTCTCTCCCTTTCTCTCTCTCTCTCTCCGTGCTCGCTTGCTCTCTACCTCTCTCCCGCTTCCACCTATACAGTGGCTTCGATTGGCTACCGCTGCCCAGCTGTTTGCCGTGCCCCCCTTGACGTCACCCAAGGTCTCCAATCCAGCAGCTGCCACCATGGCATAAAAGTGGTGACAGGACGCTACTCTGGAGGCCCTGAATTTCTGTGTTATACTGTATGTCAGTGTTTTTTTTTTATATATGTCTACTGTGTGTTACAATTTGGTATCTGTCCGTTATTTGTTCTTCATTTGTCTACCGTCAGTGTCATGCGCATCTGAGTGGGACAGGTAAGAATGTCGTGCGACATACATTGTGCACAAGTAGTTTGAAAATCTCTGTATTAGACACACTAGGTAAGGGGCGTGCTCCACCCACTGTACTTTTTGTTTTCCCATCAGAGATTAGCGAAGGTTAGGAAGTGCGTAATAGACGCGGAGATTTCTTTTCAATAACTTCTGCATTTTTATTTTGGATAGATAGGGTAGAGATTGGGCCAAATAGATTGTTTTTGTTTTATTTATTTGTATTGTTTGGATGCCGCCCGCGTCTCATTTCTCCAACTCTCCCATATCTGGTCAAACATCTTATGTCATTTGTTATCTGTGAAGTTCAATGTCTCTTTGTAAATATTTAATAATCTTTCTATATACATTTTTTTGGCATTCATTATTATCACTATTTTTGTAAATAAAATCACTTTATTGCATTTAGCTGGTCTTGGTTTTGTCCGTCATGTATTGATGTTGTGTGGTTGCTTATGTGTTTCACCCAAAAATTAATGTTACTCCTCTTCCCCTTTATTTAACATCTTTTAAATCGTAACAGGGGAAATAATTGATTCAGCAGTCTACACGCTTACAGTGGGCGATTCATTCGTTTGTTAACGGAAGGATCAGAAAAGACTGGTGTATGAGACTTGGGAGAATGGGCAGACAATACACCAGGGGTTCGTGCAAAATAAGGCCAGTTTATTAGGCACAAAGGCAGCCTGTTACACGCTGGTGAGCAATACAACCCCCTGGCTGGCTGGCTGGGGATGGGATCTTTGGGCAAAGCAGAGTACAGGTACTTAGCTGGATATATATATATATAGGCGACGCAGTGGCGCAGTGGGTAGCACGTTCGCCTCACAGCAAGAAGGTCGCTGGGTCGCTGGTTCGAGCCTCGGCTTAGTTGGCGTTTCTGTGTGGAGTTTGCATGTTCTCCCTGCATTCGTGTGGGTTTCCTCCGGTTTCTCCCACAGTACAAAGACATGTGGTACTGGTGAATTGGGTAGGCTAAATTGTCCGTAGTGTGTGTGTGTGTGTGAATGACTGTGTGTGGATGTTTCCCAGAGATGGGTTGCGGCTGGAAGGGCATCCGCTGCATAAAAACTTGCTGGATAAGTTGGCGGTTCACACCGCTGTGGCGACCCCGGATTAATAAAAGGACTAAGCCGACAAGAAAAATGAATAAATTAATATATATATATATATATATATATATATATATATATATATATATATATATATATAATGCACATTTACAGCTTTGTGCGTACGCAATGTTTTAGTATGCTCCTTGTGTGGTTTCTCATTTAGTCAGTATATTTAAGCCTTTGTATAATATGTTTCTGTTGACTATATTAGCTTTGTTTTTCAAAAATTATTATGATTATCCTTTCTATCATGGTTTTAGATTTTCTTTTTGATTGGTAATTCAGTTACTCATTGATTTTTTTGATTATGTTCACCTGGTCCTTGTGTAGTTTCTCATTTACTCTGTATATTTAAGCCTTCATTTGTGTCTGTTCATTATATTAGCTTTATTTTCCAAAGTTATTATGATTATCCTGTGCACCTTGGTTTTGGATTTACTTTGGGTGTGTGTGTGAGTGTGTTTAGAGGTAGTTATTCAGTATTTGCTAACATACACAAAGGTGTTTTTAAAAGAAATAGTTTAAAACTACACAAATGACTTTGCATCTTTTTAACTACGTATTCTTTATATCAGAGTAGCACTTAACTTTAAACTAGACTTTACTATCATACCTAAGGCAGTTATGTAACCCCAGGGAAATGTACTACAGATTGGCCACTTCAGGGCATTTTGCATTTTGTTCAAATCAAGGCAAGTACTCACTAACTGTGACATCGCTTCAGCTCTTTTCAACAGCTTGTTAAAGCATAACGTAATTAACTCTGGACACTCCTACCAACTGCAGATGTCTGTAATTTCCCTTATAACACCTGTCCTTTAACATCTACAGTATAAAAGCGAACGTCTGAAAGCAGATGCTTCAAAAAGACGAAAGACGCAGGTATTGTCAAGGGACTTGTTAGCAGAGTACAGGCACCGTAGCGGGAGACCTGCAGAGGACACATCGCAGGATTACATTTGTCTATGGGCATGTTTTTACTCATTGCCATATCCAAAGTGTAATTCTTTACCATATTTATGTATTTACATATAAATTAAATAAATATGGCATTATTTAAATCATTTATTATAATAAATTAAATAATTTATGACTTTAAAAAATAAAGTACAACTTAAAAAAAAAAATCCTTTTTACTTTATTATTTTTTAAAGACATTTTATTATTTTATTATAATTATAATTTTATTCAGCTGAAAAGTTCTTGATTTGTGTCATTGTAATTATTGTGAAAATAGTAATACTACTACTACTACTACTACTACTACTACTACTACTACTACTAATAATAATAATAATAATAATAATAAGCATATTCATCTTCTTTTATTTCTTTATTTTATGTCTCCAGGCTCATACATTACTGAATGACATGAAGTCCTGACAAAAAAGTTTAGATTATTATTTTATTATATTTGTATACATTATTATTATTATTTTATTATAATTATCATTTTAATAATAACTTAAATAATTATGACTTTAAAAAAACTGATAAATGTATGAATTTTTTAAATTATTTTTTACATTATTATTTTAATATGTTATAATTATTTTATTGGGATTATCTTTTTATTCAGCTGAAAAGTTCTTGATTTGTGTCATTGTAATAATAATAATAATAATAATAATAATAATAATAATAATAATAATAATAATAATAATAATAATAATAATAATAAATTAGCGATTTATTCCTCTGTGGTGACCCCTAATGAATAAAGGGACTAAGCTGAAGGAAAATTTATAAATTAATTGTGACAAAAACATCTAAACACAAGTGTATAATCTCACAATTATGACCTAAAAATAAATAAATAAATACAAATAAATAAATAAATTTATATAATAGAAATGTTATCGATGTGTCACTGTAATATTGTTATTATTAATTTAAAAAGTATATAAATATTCTTTTTTGATCTCCAAGCTCATACATAACTGAACAACACACAGCCCTAACTCCTGGAAAATTGAAAACTGAATAATGTTCTGGTGGTTTGAAAGATAAGCCTAGAAAGATGGTGCAAAGAATGCATGTTATTACACAGCCACTGGGGCATGAGAGCTGAGGTTCTCATTTGTACGTCTTGCCCATTCTTCTGAAACTTCAAATATAGATTTCCAGGGCTAAACCAATGTTGCTGTAAGTGCTTCCTGATATGTATGATATTTTTTGCACCCTTAAATAATTTGAGAAACTATTTTAAAGTTCCAGGTGCAGCACGGTGGTGCAGTGGGAAGCGCTTTCACCTCACCGCAAGAAGGTCGCTGGTTTGAGCATTGGCTGGGTCAACTGGCTTTTTTGTGTGTGGAGTTGGCATGTTCTCCCAACGTTTCCTCCGTGTGCTCTGGTTTTACCCACAGTCCAAACACATTGTTCGTAGAGTGCAGGTATGTGTGTGAATAAGAGTAATAACAATATGCAGTAATCCAAGATAAAAATCATCAACCGTCATTGTATTTATTTACAATTTCTTTTAATAATCTGTTTTAATCAATTTAGTTCTTTGTTGTTTTATTTCTTACACCATTTTGTGATTATTTTGTGATTCTTTTAATCCTTTTGTTTATGTAAAGTACTTTGTTATGAGTATGAAATGTGTTAAATAAAATGAATAAACAGACAAATAATTATATAAAATAAAGAAAAACAATAAAACAATAAATAACACAATAAATAAATAAATACATAAAATGATATAAAAAACAATAAAAAATAAAGCATAAAATATAATAAATGAAATAAATAAAACCTAAAAAAATAAATCGATAAAAAATAAAACAATGCATAATTAAACAACACAAAATAAACAATAAAAATAAATACATAAAAAACAATAAACAAATAAAACAATAAATAAATAAATAATCAAAACAAAAAATAAACAAGTAAAACAATAAATAAACAAACAAACAAAACAAGAAATAAATAAAACAAGAAACAAATAAAACAATAAATAAATAGATATATAAATAAATTAAGTAATAAAACATATATTAATATATAAACAAACAAACAAACAAACAAATAAATAAATAAA